CTAGTCCAGCCTGAAGGCTTGGACACCAGGGGCACCGGTGGTAGAGGCTGTAGTCCAAGTACTAAGGCTTGAGAATTAGGGATGGAGAGGGTAGTCACCGGTTCAGGTAAAAAGGTCTGGCAAACATGGGTGCCAAAATGTAAGGACAGAAGATAGGAGACCCAGTTCAAACAGTGAGTAATTTTCTCCTCCTCTGCTTTTTTGTTCTATTAAGGCCCTCAGTGGACTGGATGATGCCCTTCAAAGACTGTTGAGGGTGATCTTATTTCAGTCTAGCAATGTAATGTGCAAAGAGAGAGAAGGAAAGACAAAGAGAGATCGTCCATCTGCCAATTCACTCCCCAGATGACTGTGATGGCCAGTGCTGGGCCAGCTGATACTAGCAGCCAGGAGTTCTAGATTATCTAGGTCTTCCACGTGGGTGGCAGAGGCCCAAGGACTTAGGACATCCTCTGGTGCCTTCGCAGGTGCATCAGCAGGGAGTCTGATTGGAAACAGAGCAGCCGGAACTCAAATGGGCACCCACATGGAATACTCACTCTGCAGGTGGTGGCTTAGTGCACTGCTCCACAGCACTGGCCCTGACACCTAAAATTAATCATCAGAGTATCCTTATCTGACAACAGAGGAGAGGAGGATTAAGGTCCCATTATAAATGAAATCCCTCAGTCCATCTACCCATTACTCTAGTTCCCTAGGGAAGGAAGAAAAATAGCAAAAGCATGTAATGCCATGAAAACAAATGGAAAGGAAGAGAACTGGGGTTGAGAATCCTAAGGGAAACAGAAGTGTCTTGGGAGCAATATATACAGTTTTATTTAGTGGGAAATGATAAAGATATTTAAAGGTATCTCATGCCTTTCCTCTACATTTGCTCCTTTTCTGTTACTTGGATCCTGACTTATTTTGCAAAAGGATTTTAACATAGCTTTTTAAAATAAAAGACAAATGTACAATAAACCTGAAAATTAGAAATAAAATAAAATCTAACTTCATCCCAGACAAACTTGCTTAACATTCCCTTATCACCTCTTGTACAAGTTTCAATGTGTAACAGATAGCAGTATATATTTATGTCATTCAGGGCATCATTTTCTAGGCTTTGAAAACATGTTATGCAATGTATAGAACACATTTTTTTAAGAAAAAAAATGCTAAGAAGAAACAAAAAAGACCCAAGGAAACAAGCCAAGAGAAAAATTCCTGCTTTCTGCTTTGCCAAAAAGTCTCTCTCTTGGGAACAATTTGCATACATTATAATATTTATGAAGAAACTGCATGCAAGATATTTAGCGACCCCTGAAATAATTCTATAGGCTTTGAACGCACAAATCCAAGTAAAATGGTGAACAGTAAGCATTAAAGAGCACAAGATAATTTTAAAACAGTTGCTGTCAGCTACTGCACACTCTGGATGTAAGAGCAAGAATGCTAACTATCACACAGCTTTGAAAAATATCAATTCTGGGCATTATCATTTAAAAAAATTATGATTGTTTATTCTCATCTCTCCTTTATTCATAAATCCACCTAATATTATAGGGAGTGTTGGAAATGGCCACAAATATACCATAAGCATTTAAAATTTTGGGCAGTGACATAGTTAAAAAAAATTTCTGTTTTGCTAGTACCATTTATTAAAAAGACTCCCACAATGTCCTTTGCACCTCTGTCAAAAATCAATTGGTTTTATGTGTTCTCTCTTCTATTTATTTGTAGGTTGTCTCTTTTGTTCTGTTGACATATGTGTCAGTTTTTATGCAAATACTATACTGTTTTAATTACCATAACTTTGTAAAATGCTTTGACATCAGGTATTGTGATACCACAGCTCAATTTATTTATTTATTTAGCTTAGGGTCAATTTGGCTATTCTGGGTTTTTTGTGGCTCCACATGAATTTTGGAATTTTTTCCCTAATTCTGTAAAGAATGTTATTGGTATTTTGATAATGATTTCATTGAATCTGTAGATTACTTTAAGTAGTATGGGCTTTTGGATGATTTTAATTCTTCCAATCTCTGAACAAGGAATAGTTTTCCATTTTTTTGTGTGTGTCCTCAATGATTTCTTTCATTAGTGTTGTATAAGCAAGTTTCATACTTGGTTGAAAGCATGATATATAATTATATGCCCAGTACCTCAGAAGAAGCCCCCTGGGCTTATGATCTTAATATGATAAAATTAACAAAATAATTTTCAAGGGAGAAAAAATATTCTTTTCCTTTGATAGCAGCTAATTAAGAGACAAAATAATAGGAAACATGATATCATGGAAAACAAAGCCATCTGAACACCAAGAAATAGCCATGAAGCTAATGTGTTAATAAAAAATTTAAATTGATACATATATATTGGACATATGAGATGCAGTGTGATGTTCTGACACATGGATGCATTGCATAATATATAAATGAAGGTAAAAACATACCTATCTCTTCAAACACATCATTTTTTAAGGGTAAAATCATTCAAAATCCTTTCTTCTAGCTTTTTTGGAAGCATATTATCATTATCCCGTATCCAACAAAGCATCAGAAGTTATTTCTCCTGTCTAACTATGACTTTAGTACCCATTAATTAACTTTTCCTCACTCCTTTCTTCCTCTTACTCTCCCCAGCCCCAGAGAGGCATAATTCTATTTACAACTTCTATAAGATCATATTTTCCACATATAAATGAGATCATGTTTCCACTTTTGACACGTTATTTTTACTCAGGCCATTATGTTTTGAAGTTGGGTTGAGATATTATAAAAGGAGATAATATAAAGGACTAGCTATTCCTTCTGAAGCAACTATTAAAAAGAACCAAGAAATTCTACATAACTATGGTTGGATGTAGAACAGTTAAATTTTAGGATGACTAACTGGAAAAGGTAGACTTTGCGTAATAAATCATTAGGTAGATTAAAGGTTACCAAATGCCATTACTAGAAGGAATTGTGCCTAAACCATGTTTGGTTTAAGCCTTTGAAGAATATAAGTTATCTGAGGGAAAGATTCTTTAAATCACGAAAGATATGACTGCTTAAGAATAGACAACATCACTATGTTCCTAAATCTGTATATATGAATTACATGAAATCTGTTTACCATAAATAAAAACAGCTAAAAAATAAAATAAAGAACAGACAGATCCTATGGCCAGAAATAATGGTGAATGGCTTATGGTTGGAGCAACTGACTTGATATACAGGAGTGAGAACTCAGGAAAGTATAAAATGATACAAAAGGAAGGTGTCATTTTAAATCCCTCTTTTGCTGGGAGGCTAATGCATGAATGCTTAAAACTCTCTCCTTAAGAGATTGATTTATGCAGGGGCAGAGAGGAAAAGTGACACACAGGTCTCACTGGTATTACTGTGATGCCAAGATGTTCTAAACTAACCACGTTTTGTCCAAAATGGAGACTGAGTTACGACATAATGATGCAAAGCTGTTATCTATACCCTGGTATATATTTCTTGGCATTATGATTCAGTTTCAGTTTCTTCATTTCTCTAATATGTAATTCATTCTGTAGGATGCTCTGGATTGCTAATTAATATAAAGTAATACCATGAGATATGAGCAAATTCTCATATTTCCACCTAGAATTGGAATAGGCTGTAACCATAGAGAAAATACATCAAACACGTTCAGTTTCAGAAATAAAAGTTTACAAAGAATTCCAACAAAAGTGATGGACTAGGAATATCATTGGTGTGACATCTTAAATAAGATAATATTGCCATTTAATTAATTTGTGAATTTTACAGATAAAGATGAATTTATTTAGTGAATTTTCATCTCCAACTATAAAAAACTATACTTGTGGACATTTTGAACACAGATTATATCTTTAAAACATTTATTTTGTTTATTTTTATGTGGTAAAGAATATATCTATTGTCCTGACTCATTTCACAGAGTTATATTCAAGACTGTTCTTAAAATATTTGTTTCAAACTTCAGTCTAACTTCTTTTTGTAACTTTAAACTTTGAGAGAAAAAGAACTGAAGACAAAACATACAAGTTGGTCCCTAATTTTTTTTTTCTTTTTGAAATACAATATATTGCTAGGATTCTAGTTTCTAAACAAAATACAGAACTGAAAAATAATATATGTAAACTTCTTTAATTATGCTTCCACTGAAAAATTAAATTATATTAAACATTTATAAAATGTATGGATTTTTAATAACGTAATTTATTAGTTATTTACCTCAACTCTCCAACACATGGGGAGGTCACACGGGTTCACTTATCAATCTTTAGAGTCTGGTAGGTAAAGATAAAGTAAAAGCTTGCCCAGGAAACAGCAGCATTCTGCTAACTATCTATCATCATTGTCATGGCCATTTAATTACTCATTTAAAGTTTTATATTTCAAACTCAACAATATATTTCAAATTGCTATTAAGATGTCCCAAAACATCAACTCATTTGCACTTAAGTTAAATGACATATTGATGTTACGATTGCACCTGAACTATAATCATGGCAATTTTTAAAGATGTACTACTGTGAAATTGTAACATATTTACATTTCCTGACATAAAGCTCCTTGGTATCTTTGGAGTTGATAGGAGTTGCCTTTTGTATGCTTCTAAATGGCTGGTTACTGGGGTTCCCCAGAGAACTTCTGGATAGAGTTTGTCACGGGAAAGACAAAACTACAAATTTAGAGGGTTGGGACTTTGAGCCTCACCTCCTCAACCTCTGGGGAAGGGAGAAAAGCTGAGGATTAAACTGATCACCAATAAATGGTCAATGATGCAATCAATGATGCCTGCATAATGAAGTATTCATAAAACTGAAAAGGTCAGGTTTTGGAGGACTTCTGGGTAGCTAAACTTTCCATGGAGGTTCTGGCGAGGAACTGAAAATCCTGTGCCCCTTCCCCTACACACTGCCATGTTCTTGGTTTCCATTTGTCTGTTCATTTGCATCCTTTTATAACAAATGAGAAAGTGACAATTAGTTTTGCTGATGTAGATGAGGAATCAGGACTTACCCCTGTCTGTGTCATACAGGAAGACAAAACAGTTCCACTCATAGTGATCCAGCAGACTCAAGAGTGCTCCTCGTAAGGAGGGCCTTAGCTGCAGCACAAACTGGCTCTCTCCCTCTGTAGGGAAACTTGGTGTGATGAGGGAGATGTGCAAGGCGCTGCAGAATGAGGTCAAAGTATGCACTGACCTCTTGTCATAGAGTCCAAAAATGGCAAAGACTCCTCTGGAATACTGGGAACAGACTGCAAAAAAAGGAAGAAACATCAAGCATTAGACATTTAAATGTATTGACTTTAAAATCTACATACTATGCAATTAAGAAACAATTACTGATTTTTTAATGATTCAGGAATATGAGACAAAGGGTAAGTGAAGTATGATCATTCATGAATTCTTGCTTGTATTTAAAATCCTGCATTGAGTCAAGGTGATTTGAATTAAAGTCCTGCAATAAGAAACTGATTTGAGGGACTGGCATTGCCGCGTAGCAGGTAAAGCCACCTCCTGCAATGCCTGCATCCCATATGGGCACCAGTTCATGTACTGGCTACTCCACTTCCAGTCCAGCTGTTAGCTATTGGACTGGGAAAAGCAGCAGAAGATGATCCAAGTACTTGGGCCTCTGCCACCCATGTGGGAGACCAGGAAGAAGCTCCTGGCTTTGGCCTGATCCAGCCCTGGCTGTTGGGGTCATCTGGGAAAGTGTACCAGCAAATGAAAGATCTTTTCTGTCTCTCCTTCTCTCTCTCTAGCTCTGACTTTCAAATAAATAAGTAAATCCTAATAAAAGGAAACCTGATTTGAGTCAAGAGAAAATTTGACTCAAATTAAGTAATATCTTGTCTTCCATGGTAATGTGGCGAATCCCATTCTACAGGATAAGTGTCACAAATCTAAATTTTTTTCTTTATCTTTTTTACTTACATGCAAAAATGTAATATGCTTTTTTTTCAATGTACTTTATTTTTAATTTCTAATTGAAAGGCAGAGAGATAGCTGCCTAGACCCTCCATCTACTGGTTCACTACCCAAATGCCTGCAGTAGCTCAGACTGGGCCAGGCCCAAACCAGGAGCCAGGATCCAGGTGCCAGAAAATCAATCCATATCTCCCATTTGGTTGGCAGGGGCCCAGGTATTTGTGGTATCATCTGCTGCTTCTCAGGATGCATATTACCAGGAATTTGGACTTAAAAGCAGGACTCAAACCTAGGCATTCCAATACAGCTTCCAATACAGGCAGTATTTCAATATTAATTGAAGGAACACTTAAATTACATTGATACCACCCTTTCTAAGTTATATGCATCTGCTTTCTATTCTTGAATTGGATTACATTTGTTGTCCAACATAAAAAAAGCTACCTCTTCTTCTAAATGAAGTTTTGTTTTTTATCACAACTTTAGTGCCATCATGAATCATATTGGAAAGCAGAAATTAAGCTGTCTAAAAAATAATTATTGGACTCAGAGTCTTAGTAAATTGGGGCCAGTATGTAAGACAAAGCAATTCCAAAACCCAATATTATTAAGACTACCAGAAGTAACAGGGCCCTAGGGAAACAAGTACATAGTCTCCCATTGTTTTTCTTTCTCTGTACTCCCAGTTGTTAGAAGGATGACAAGGCAATATCACAAAGAAAAAAAAATGATTCTTTTTAAAATTCTTTCCCAATGATATTTTATTAACTCTTCACATTACTTATTTCTGGTCTCAATTGTATGACTCTTCCTAAGTTACATTAGGAAATTTACATTAGTAAAGAACATAAACCTGCAATAGAGAAGTTTTTTGTTTACACCATAAAGTATGTCTGTCTGAATTCCAAATTCTTTTAGCTTATCATGTGTGACTATGGTCCTATTTCTCCTTGGTTTATATTGTGAGTTTAATGAGTGTTTAGGCCCATAAAATTTTTGTTTTCTGATTTTATTTATTAATTTTAACCATTAAGTTCATTAATAAGCCAGGAGTACTGAATAACCTAGGTGTATTTATCTTAGGAGTAGTTTATTGTGTTACAAAGAAATTTATTTAGCTTCATTAAAACATTGCTAGACACTGGAAAAATTGATTATCTTAATAATAGTTGTGTATTCTACAGGATCTAGTTTTAGGAAATCATGAAACAATTCAATATGATAATTCAATAAAACATGGAGATTTTTCTTTGGTTCTTGTTTATCATGTCTCTTGAAATTGGGAATAGAGTCTAAGCAATGCAATTACAAGTGCAGAAGGTAAAGATCAACAGAAAATGAAGCTGCCAGTTATCATTAGATTATGTGTTCTAAGAAATATACAAGTTTTTCAAAACTTAAGCCTAACTAAGGAACCAGAATCAATATTCAAATGGGCAATACTTGGATAGAATTAACATTAAGATACAGAGGAAAGACAACAATCTTTGCTAACAAATTAAAAAATTTAGTATTTTTAGCTATTAGCCAAGTGACCTGGGTTGATTTTATCTTATTTTCATTAAACATAAATATATCAATGGCAAGGATTGAGATATTGTATGTAAAATTGCTATTCTATGAGATGTGAGGCAATTAGTAAAAGGCAAACTTTAAACTTTCTGTATGCATGTATATAGTTGAAATATATTATTTCTTAGGATTAGAAGACAAAATAGAAGGAGGTATTCATATTCTACATTAAAATGATACTTATTTTGATAGATAATATATTCAGGTTCAATAAAAATTTCAATTAATTCAGGTACTTGGATTTTATCACTTGAATACTTTGAGCAACAAGGAAGACTTGTTCTGACAATGTGAGTTTCTGTCATTTCCTCGCAATATATGAAGAAGATCAAAATTTTTTTTTTTTTTTTTTTTGACAGGCAGAGTGGACAGTGAGAGAGAGAGACAGAGAGAGAAAGGTCTTCCTTTGCCGTTGGTTCACCCTCCAATGGCCGCCGCTGCAGCCGGCGCACCGCGCTGATCCTGGCAGGAGCCAGGAGCCAGGTGCTTTTCCTGGTCTCCCATGGGGTGCAGGGCCCAAGCACCTGGGCCATCCTCCACTGCACTCCCTGGCCATAGCAGAGAGCTGGCCTGGAAGAGGGGCAACCGGGACAGAATCCGGCGCCCCAACCGGGACTAGAACCCGGTGTGCCGGCGCCGCAAGGTGGAGGATTAGCCTATTGAGCCACGGCGCCGGCTAGAAGATCAAAATTTAACCTTTGGAAATCTTGAGTTTTAATCTAATTCAAGCCCTTTAACTCAGGCAATCTGATAAATCAAATCAAGTTTCTGGATAGGCCCTTCAGCTTGTGGATGTTCCACCAAGGATTGGGATATAGGTGTTTAACTGCTATCTTGATTTTCATGCAAATGATGGATGGCACTCAATCTTTACATGGCACATAATCTGGTTCAATTACTTTTTATTTTAATTCCACTGAAAAAATAAAGTTGAAGAGCTTTAGAATCCAGACATAAGGTAGATCCTGGGGCCAGCATTGTAGCTGCTGCCTGGGACACCTGCATCCCATATGGGCGCCAATTTGTGTTCTGGCTGTTCCATTTCTGATCCAGCTCCTTGTTAAGACCTAGGAAAAGCAGTGGAAGATGACCCAAGTGCGTGGACCCCTGCCACCCATGTGGAAGACCCCTTGAAGCTCCTCGCTCCTGGTTCCAGTCTGGTCCACCCTTGGCCATTGCAGCCATTTGAGGAAGTATACCAGTGAATGGATGATCTCTGTTTTCCCATATCTCTCTGTAACTCTCTCTAATAAATAAATAAATAATCATTTTTTAAAAATCTTATTTTTCAGTATAGGGATGAAACTACACATAACTTTAGTGCTTGTTCAAGCAAATATAAACAAACGGCATCTATAAGTCATGCACTACAACTTGTTCATGCATATAATGATCTTTCATAATACTGCCTGTTGTAGCACTTTAAAACCATACAGTCTTCAAGCTTTAGTCTTTAAATTATGTGTTTTTTTTAGGAACTCTTGGATTTCCCTATGAAGACTTGTATAAGTTTCTTTGGGAACCTTTGGTGAGACAGCTTAAGTAGATGCTGGCTCCTTCACCTGGTGTCCTTCTCAGCACCCTTTTCCCAAAAATCCCACAGCAATTCTGCCATCATCTACTTCAAATACCGATCTACTTCTACCATAAAATTTATGTGCAAAATGTATTACACTGTTAACTAAAGTTCAAAAACAACTAGTGGTCTTTTGCACAAAACCGCTCTACTGCTTATTCCTTCTTTATGGTTTTAAATGTAATTGTTACAACTCCTTACTATTCTGATGCTCACCATACCATGTAACTTATTTACATTTATTTTACTGGGCCTTAATAGTTTTCTGATGTTTAATCATCTGTTATCAGCTTTCATTAATTTGCATTATTATATATATTCCTTTCTTTTCTCCTTTTCTGTCTTCATCAGCTGTCTGCTGTTCTGCCTCTATTCTGTGTATATATTTTGAAACTATAGTAGGTCTCAGACTAACAACTTGCCTCTGGAAATATTCTGTCAGTCATATTTTAGAGACTTCCAATTGTAGTATTATCTTTTTAAGTCTATTTTTCCTATTTAATCTAGATCGCAGGCTTGGCAGGGGAGGGTTATTTGATTTTCTGTGTATGGAGATTGGCTGTCAGTCAAATGTTTAATGTTATTTTATCAGTGTGATACCTTGGGCAGCATTTTATTTAGTCCAGTAGATTCAAATTTTAAAATATAATTATTTCCATATTTAGAATTACTCTCTAGCTTTGGAAGCACTCTAAAATCACAAGTATGCTTGGCAATAACATTACATCTGTGGTTACTTAGTATACAAATAATTATGCAAACAATGGGACTTCTTAAACACATAATGCAGACATAAATTAATGGTAGTAAGCTAAGCTGAGTATGAATGTGGTGCAGTGGGTTAAAGCCCTGGCCTGAAGCACTGGCATCCCATATGGGCACCGGTTTGAGACACGGCTACTCCACTTCCAATCCAGCTCTCTGCTGTGGCCTGGGAAAGCAATAGAAGATGGTCCAAGTCATTGGGCTCCTGCAATCACATGGGAGACCCAGAAGAAACTCCTGGCTCTTGGCTTCGGATCAGCGCAGGACCGGCCGTTGTGGCCATCTGGGGAGTAAACAGGCGGATGGAAGACCTTTCTGTCAGTCTTTACCTCTCTTTGTAGCTCTGTCTTTCAAATAAATAAAATAAATCTTTAAAAAAAAGAGAATACATAAAAGAGAAACAAACTGAAC